CACCCCCAACACCTTGAAACCCCCCCTAAAACACACCCCCTCCCAAAACCACTACCAACAATCACCCAAAACCCTCCTCTTGCTCAAGAATGTAATGTGCATCAACGAGAGAGAGAGAGAGAGAGAGGCACAAAGACTGGAAAAGGGAAAGGGAAATGAAGGGGCTTTTGTACTCATGTAATAAAAATCATTTTCTTGCTGTTAACAGGACTCAAAGGTTGGACTTCATTAATGGTGTGTTCTAGTGCCTCCGCCTGTTTCGTTTTTTGGATGTTTTCATAAACTTCTTTTTGGATGTTTCCATTTTTTGGGCTTGTTTTCAAAACGGAGCAGTAAAAAAAAAAACAAAAACAACCACCAAATGCCTTTTTGTTTTTTTTTGGTTTTGTTTTTTGCCATAAAATGAAAACAAAAACAAAAACAACTGGTTAGCAAACGACACTTTAATTTTTTGACTTGATCATTACTTTCATCCTGATTACTAGAAAACGCACTCTAGGATAGCATGGCATGTTCCACCATTAGATTGTCACAACCCACCAAGAGCATTGAGCTATTTTGTATATATTTTACTTTCTGTTGTAGAGTCCCACTCATTTTTACCAGAAAACAGTATGCAGGACATGCTTTAATTCAGTGTAGAAAACTCCTATGCTCAGAAGGTCCAGAGAGATGCAGAACATTTGCTGATAGGAGTTTGTGTCCCCATACATTTAAGAACAATTGACAAACCAGATCATCTGTCTATTTACTTAATCCCACTTGATCTTGCCATAACCATCTTGTACGCACTAATAAAGAAAATTGGATGCTGATGTGTAAGTGGCTGCATTTTGCGGATTAGATATGTTAAGTTTTATTTTGTACATGGGTTCTTTTACTATGTCACAAATAATGCACAGATGAGCTTGAAAGTTAAAATAAATAGAAATAGGAAATGATACTTGTGGTAGCTAAGCATAAATTGTAGCTAGTAATTAAAAAATTGATTGAAGCAAGTAACTGGATGGCTTTTTATTTCAGGACTTGGGGTCATGGGACATCTCTAGTTTTTGTTCAGAGCTTTCACCATATGTAGGTTGCTTGGTGCAATTTGTTTTTTCTGTTGGTGGTCACCATGCTGGTTGATATAGACCATTTTGGAGATGAACTTCCAATCTTGTCCACACGAATCCTCATATAAGATACAGCTAAATGTATGGTTTGTCATGTTTTGCATCTGCAATTCAGAGGTGCTTATGGGCTGGGCTGGACTCTGGCCCCCTGAGAACATATGGTATGATCAATCAAGTGATATTTTCATTGGCCTGATAGGTAATTGATGAATAATACAAACCAAGACTTAAGAAAGTGATAGGTTGGTAAAAAATTGGAGTTGCTTAAAAGGTGTGGAGGTGGCAGAAAAGGTTTATGTGTTGAATCATGAAGAAGTGATATAGGTTTTGGTGTCTATTATGCATGTGATTTACTTTCAAAGTAGTTTGAGAATAAGGTCCTCCTGTCAAAGTGGATAGCATTTTTGTGTTATGTGCGATCAAAAATTTTGAGTGATTATTTTTCTGTAAACTTGCTGTGGTATCTTCCTTTGTTTATTTGATGCTGTTTTATTCCATAATACCGGAAGTGATGTAGAGTTTCTCGACTTTTGTATGTATTTTGTATTCAGTTTCTGGTGTTCAAAGTCTTTCTTCCAGTGTGCAAAGCACTCCGGAAAAGAATGGACATTCAGATTTTGCTTCAAGAAGTCCAGAGCTTCTCCAAGAGTTACTGAAATCAGGTCCAAGAAAGGATCTTTATCAAACTTGCTTCGATAAGGAAAAGAAGCATTCAGCTTCATCAAAGTCCAAAATGGCTGAACAAGCTCCAAAGACAAGTAAGAAAACATCAAAGAACCAGGAGCCAAAAAAAGCATCTTCAAGTCCGAAGGATCATCCTTCAAGAAAGCAACCTAGGAAGGGGGAAAATCCCATCCAAATTCCACCACCTTCAGAGCAATGCGCTGATGTCAAATGTTCAAATTCATGGATCTGTAAAAATTCTGCATGTCGAGCCACTCTATCAATAGATGACATATTTTGCAAGAGGTGCTCATGCTGCATTTGTCATCTATTTGACGACAACAAGGATCCAAGTCTTTGGTTGGAATGCACATCTGAATCAGGTCAAGGAGACTCCTGTGGCTTATCTTGCCACATTGAGTGTGCCATCCAACGTGGAAAGGTGGGGGTTGTTGATCTAGGGCAATTGATGCAGCTTGATGGGAGTTATTGTTGTGCTTCTTGTGGTAAGGTATCAGGGATACTTGGGTAAGAAGCTCTTAATCTTGACTCTCTGATGACTTTTAAGTGCCTAAAAACTGCCACTGCACCCGTATACTTGCAAGAAGAAAAGATAAGAAACATTTAGAACAGAGGCAGACAAATAGCTGATTCCCCATGTATGGAATTTGTTTATCAACAAAAAGAATTCATGAATGGATAACCTCAGCACGAACAAGTTTTGAGTAACCTATAGTTGGGCAACTTTAAACTCTCTCCTTATTAATCTCTTTGAAAAAAGTTTGCTTTCTACTGTTTCTCATACTAGGGGTAATCCATGCTTGAGGCATGGTGCAATATGAATAGTTTTGAGAGGAATGGTAGTGGTTGGATGAGTATATTTGAGAACGTCGGATGGGCTTATTGAAGCCTGCCTGTTTTATATTATAGATATTTTCCTCTTTTCCATTAAAGTTTGGCTAAAGTTCTTTCCATTGTCCTGTTTTAATTGGTTTTTGGTTTATGTCTTCATTGCTGAAAAAATAACTACTGTGGCAACTGATAGCACATTCATGTTTTGAAAGGATTGGCATATGGTGGCAGTGAACTACAAATATTTTTTATGTTCTGTAATGGATTTTCAGCCTTTTGATGTGGTTAAGAACTCTGGCAGATATTGGAAGAAGCAGCTAAGTATAGCTAAGGATGCTCGCCGTGTTGATGTCCTCTGTTATAGGATATTCTTGTGTTACAGGCTCCTGGATGGGACTTCCAGGTTCAAAGAACTGCATGAAATTGTTAGAGATGCCAAGGCCAAGTTAGAAACCGAGGTGGGTCCAGTTAATGGAGTTTCAGCCAAGATGGCACGAGGCATTGTTAGCAGACTCTCTGTTGCAGGTGAGATGCAGACACTCTGCTCTCGGGCAATTGAAAAAGCTGATGAATTGTTGGATGCAGTAGATAGTGTGGACTCAAATATCAGAGCTACTGGTAATAGCTTGTATCTTTCTACTTTTTATTGCTTTAAAGAACTTCATTTTTATAGCTTGAATTTTTTCCTTTTTCCCCTGGCAGAGGGTTCACTTCCTGCAGCTTGCAGATTCCTCTTTGAACAGGTGACTTCTTCTTCAGTCGTGATTGTATTGCTCGAACTGTCTGCTGCATCCTCTAGCAATATTAAGGGCTACAAGCTCTGGTATTGTAATAGTAGAGAAGAAACACATACAAAAGAGCCTGTATGTGTTTTTCCAAGATCACAGAGGAGAATTTGGATATCCAATTTGCAGCCTTGCACGGAGTATTCCTTCCGGATAGTATCCTTCACGGAGGCTTGCGACTTGGGACACTCTGAAGCAAAGTGTTTTACCAAGAGCGTGGAGATAATTCACAAGAATCCCAACTTGAAAGCATTGATTTGTAAAAAAGAAAATTCGCAAATTGAAGGAAGTTCTGGTGCCAAGATGGAGCATACAACTACAACAACCATTGAATGTGACTCTGGATTCAAGGTCCGAGACCTGGGTAAGATCCTACGGCTGGCATGGGCACAAGAAAAAGGCTGCTTTGAGGGGTTCTGTAATGTAGATATAGAGAAATGCTGTGGAGTTGGGAAAGTAATTAAGGAAACTCCGCAAGAAGAAAGGCTACCGTCTGTTTCACGTGAGCTAGACTTAAATGTAGCTTCAGTGCCTGACTTAAATGAAGAGGCAATTCCTCCTATAGATTCCTCTAGGGATGAAGATAATGGATGCACTTTGGGGCGAGCCGTTGGGGCAGATGATGATGCTCTCTCTCATGATGTTGAGGGGAATGGCACTGCAAGGTCGCATGGTAGTGGGGACTCCCAAAACTGGAACCATGGACCAAATGATGAAGTGCCGGCTGTTGACTCCCGTGCGGAATATTGCCGGAAAAGGGCAGCTAGCACAAATGAAGAGACACTTGACTGTGATAGCACCCTGATAAATGGATCACCATTTCAATTACGAAATGGGTCAGGGTGCTTGGATGAGAATTTTGAGTACTGTGTGAAGATCATTCGTTGGCTTGAATGCGGGGGTTACATTAAAAAGGAATTCAGATTGAGATTGCTAACATGGTTTAGCTTGAGATCAACGGAGCAGGAACGCAGAGTGGTCAACACCTTTATTCAAACTCTCATTGATGATCCAAGTAGCTTAGCAGGACAGCTGGTGGACTCCTTTTCAGATATCATTTCCCAGAAGAGGCCCCGAAATGGTTTCTGCAGTAAGCTGTGGCATTAGATTAGTTAGGGGATTCAGGAAAACGGGATTGCTATTTAACTTAAATATTTATCATTTCATGTGATAAATTATTGCTGATCGTTTTGCCCATTCTTTGTACAGGCATTTTTCCCTAATCACCTGCTGAAGTGATTCATTGTCCGTGGACAAGTCTGCCCGGGTGGTCATTATTTGCCACGGTTGTTCCTGATTTATCGGTAGGGGAGAGCTCTCTCGGACTCCAGTAGATTTGACATTCTTGAAGGCATTTATTTATTTCTTAAGCTTCAAAATTGCATTTGAAGCAGTTGAATTAAGTTATGTAGAATACATTCAGATATTGTTGGTATTGCCTTCTATCAGTTATGGAAGAAGGGGTGGAAAAATATTCACCACTTCCAATTCTTTGTGTGACTTGATCTTTCTGATTAAGAACATATTACTTTCTGCGCTTGCCTTTGACCTTTTCCTGAAGTTGCGTGATAGCAGTTTCATGACCTGAAGGTGGTGCAAGTACTTGTATTTGACACTACTTTTTTTAAGCTTTGTTTCTGTGCTAGTCATTTGCTGGCAAGGAGAAAAAGACGATAGATGAAAAATATATTTTCATGCATTTATTTGGTTAGGATGAAAAATTCTCGAGAAAATTTTAAAAAATTTTATCATTTGAAAGAAAAAAAAAATATTATTTTTTAATTGTTTAAATTACTCTTAATTATATTAAATCGGTCTAAAGAAGAAAAAATATATATATTATAATTGAAAGTTAAAAAATTAAAAAAAAATGGCTCGTAATTTAATTTTAGGACAAGCATCAACACAAATCTTTGAGTTAAATTATATGTTTAATCAAATTTATACTATTGTTTTTTAAAATTAATAACTAATAAAATATTTTAAGAAAAAAAAAAGGGTAAAATGAAAGTTAATTATAGATCACAATTTTTTTTACATTTTTTGTATTTTTTACAAGAAAAAAAAGTTGGCTAATTAGCCTAATTGTGAGAAAATTCAAGCATGAAAAAAAAATATATTTTATTTTATTTTTCATTTTATGCTAACTAAACACATAAAAATTTTAAATTCTATATCTTTCTTTTATTTTCGATCATTATTCGGCTAAACAAATAGATCCCTCACGTAGTGTTTGGATAAATGAGCGCTTCTTAACCTTCCATGTATGACTTTTAGAGTGGCTTCCATGTCAAACAGCTAAATCAGTGACCCAAAAAAAAGAACAAAATGGAGTCAAACCACAATGAATATTAGTATAGCCATTGGAATTTACTAAAGACACCTTTGAGTTTTACAATCCTCATTAAGTTGGACTAATTAAACATCACTATTTGTCACCTCTACCCTGATTGGGCAACTTTTATGAGGTTCTTGATATTTAGAATTTCCCCAACAACACCCCCCCCCCCCCCAAGAAAAAAAAAGGAAAGACGAAACGGCAAAAGTCCAATAAATAAATAAAAATTATACGAGTAGTTCAGTAATATGAGATTAGATTATAACAAATAGTAAATTCGGATTTCCTATGATCGACTCATGGTTGGTAATTTTTAAATTTAATTAAAATTTGTGATTAGTGTGGTTTTAAATGATCCAAAATTTTGTTCTGCAATACTAGTTCAATGTGATTTTTTTCATTATAAAAAAAAATCTCAAAGAGACAAAAAAGGAAGGTAAGAATAAAACTCAAAGGTACCACCAGCCATCCCCTCCCCCATGACTTGTGGAGCATTGTTGCCGAGGGCTCAATGCCAGCGGTCATAGGCAGTTACCATGGAGTAGAGCAAACGAAGGCGTAATACGATGTCGTTCTGGCTAAGATTCTAATGAAACCATACGACGTGACGTTAAAATATGAGGCTCACAGTCACAGACACACACTCCGCTCAAAAAACGCTCGTCTCCAATTTCTCTCTCTCTCTCTCTCAAATGCAGCTCCTGCAGTCTCCATCTTCTCCTTCTCTCACAAGTCAACTCAGAGGAGGTACGTTTCTATGTATTCCGCTCAGTTAGCTTATTAGTTTGTATTTGAACCATTCGTTTCAGCTAAATTTACAATCTGTCATATGAAATCTTGTGTTTTTTTTTTCGTAGGACTACTTGCTCTACAAAAACCGTTGCATCTCCTTACTACTCATAGTTCTGTGAACTCTCAAATACACTTAAGGCCTATACGGATATCATATAACCGGTCAAATTCGAGCTTTATTTCAGCTACAGCTGCTTCTGTTGAAGGTAAATTTCTACTTCCTTCTAGCAGATCCAGTACCTCATTTGATTTGATTTTTGTAGAATTCAGTGATGAGGCACAGAAGTTCAGTGTATTTTTGCTTTGGTGTGGTGTTATTCTGATTCCATAGTAGTGTATTTGCTTTGTGCAGTTTGTTAATTGTTTTTTCGTTTTTGAATTGGAATGGACATATTGATAGCTTGTTGATTAGGTGTTTCATTTTCTATTTCACAATGAAAATATATTAGAATTGCAATAGCTTCGGATTTTATGTTTTTTTCTTTTTTGTAAATGGAAATTTAAGAATGAGAGTAATATCTTGCAGAGAAAAGGAACATCGTAAAATTTCCGGATTGATCAAAGATTGAGCTAACCAAGATTGGTCAGGATAGACCAAAAAAATGTCAATTTTATGAAATTCATGCAGAAGACGGCACCCTCTGACAATCATGATGACCAGGGATTAGTCAGTGATCATTTTTGGTTAAGTAACATGTAGTTGTCATCTTGGGATGGAACACCATAATTAGTTCATGGAGAATGAAATTTCGCATGAAAAACATATATAACGTTTGCGAATGGGACATCCTATCACAAAGTTAAGGTTGGATCCCGTCAATTATGTGATCTCTACTGGGATTAGATGAAGCTGTTAAGCAGCTGATGCATATCATGAATGCTTACTTGTACTGCCTCTTGTTCCCTTCAATCGTATGTATTTACCTTCTCATAGATGTGTCTTAACACTTAACATCCAAAATCATTTCGCCTCTTGAGACAGCATAAAACCAGAGATTTTAGGTAGTTGTTTCTTCTTGTTTCGTAGTCCTCATTGTTGCTATTTTCATTTTCATCATTATTATCATCGTGTAAGACGATCAAGTTATTAAGTTGAAATTCTGAGAAACTTGTCATGTCATGTGGCACATATGTTGCTGCTCTGGAAAATGCAACTTCCTACCTGATTCTTTCGTGACATTATGTGGCGGTGTGTCCAACTGCTAAAATATAACTTCATGCTTCTCCCCTCTTTCCTTTGCCTCTCATTAATTCAGTAGGTAGTGTTTTTGGTTTATTATACTTGTTCAAGTTTATTTATATATCTATCTTGTTCCGTCATTTGTAGCTGGTGCTTCTGCTATATCAACTGGAACACCTGAGAATGATGTATTAAAAGCCTTGTCTCAGATCATTGATCCAGACTTTGGGACAGACATTGTCTCATGTGGATTTGTGAAGGATCTGCATGTAGATGAAGCTTTGGGAGAGGTCTTTTAGAAATGGATGTGATGAGTTCCATAACCTAATATGTAAAGTATTATGTCCTCATTCAACATTCTAACTTTTCATCTCAGGTTTCATTTCGGTTAGAGCTCACTACACCAGCATGTCCAATCAAGGACATGGTAAATGAAACACAACCACCATTGTTTGATCAAGAATTGATGTGTATTTCAAGGGGTACATAATTTTGTTTCCCCCCCTTTAAGTTATTTGATTCATTCCTGGATTGTAATGAAATTTTCAAGGACCGTGAGTAAAATATTCTTCTCCTTGTCTCCTTCTCTTCACTGGCAAATGCGTGAATTATTGGAAACAATTTGTGAAGACAGTTCCCATTAACATTTGAAATATATCTTCATGGAATAATATTTAACTTTTAGCTTTTAATTTTTTTCTGGGGTGAATTTGTATCTCATTTAAGTCAGAAAATATATGAAGTGTAGTAAAATTTCATGCATTTTGCAGTTTGAGGAAAAATCTAAGGAGGTGGTGGCGGCCCTTCCCTGGGTTAAAAAAGTGAATGTGACGATGTCGGCCCAACCAGCAAGACCTGTTTTTGCAGGGCAACTTCCAGTGGGGCTACAGACGATATCAAATATAGTGGCAGTTTCTAGTTGCAAGGTAAAATTTACAGCTATCTCTCTGTTGGTACATTTTTCTGCAGGATTCCACAATGTCTGGAACATGTTTTTTTCAACAAAATACACCTTGTTTAATTCTATTTCTTGTTTTGTTCAATAAGAAACACTATGTCGCCAAATTAATTGTTAAATGAGCTTATAAAGAGGAGGAATTTGTTGCAATCTGGTAAGATTGTGATGACCCATGGATTCTAGTAGGAGAGTACCTTGACATCTCTTTGTCCTGTAAATGCCTTGGGGAAAGTACTTTGTTCCTGAGTTATCCTCCTGTTTTCACCACATGACTATTGCATTTCAGCCTGTTATACATGCTGTGTCATGTATTACTTGTTGAAAACAGAATATAACTAGTCAGCGTGTCTTGTTTCATTTATTTTATGATAACAATAATAACTGCAGGGAGGCGTGGGAAAATCAACTGTTGCTGTAAACTTGGCATATACTTTGGCTGGTATGGGTGCTAGAGTTGGCATCTTTGATGCTGACGTTTATGGTCCTAGTTTACCCACAATGGTCTCCCCGGAAAACCGGATGCTTGAGATGGTAATCTCTGATGTCTTAAATTCATATTTACTCATTTTTTATTCAATTGATACAACTATGACAACTGAAAAGTGTTCTACAGAACCCGGAGAAGAGAACCATTATTCCAACTGAATACTTTGGAGTTAAGTTGGTATCTTTTGGATTTGCCGGACAAGGGCGTGCAGTAATGCGAGGTCCAATGGTTTCAGGGGTCATCAACCAACTACTGACTACAACTGAGTGGTATCTTAGCTTCCAATCTTAATTCAAATTTTACTATGAAGTACAGACCTACTTACTTTTTCAGTAATATCCTGGCAGCTCTAATGATAGAAGTTAAATCCTTATCTCATCAATTCCTTCACAGCGTGTGGTTGTCCATAACCATGTGATTAAAATTAGAAACCATAACTCAACTAATGCTATTGAAAATTTTGTCTGAGTGTCCCCTTTTTGTTGAGATAATGTGGTTATCCTTTATGGTGGTGTTTGGAAATTATTCCCTGATCGTGTTTTTTGCAAGTTGCAACTGTGTAGGGGAGAACTGGACTACCTTGTTATTGACATGCCCCCTGGAACTGGTGATATTCAACTTACCTTATGCCAGGTAGTGCTTTTAATGACCTAGTGGTTAAGGTTTTAGACATGTTTGTGAATAGCTCCTTGCAAATTGCAAAAACTTCCTGTAAGAATATATTCCCCAAATTTTAATATTTCCAAGTTTTCAATGCCCTGACTTAGGTAGATTCAATTTTCAGGTTGTCCCATTGACTGCTGCTGTTATTGTTACAACACCTCAGAAGCTCGCATTCATAGATGTTGCAAAAGGTGTTCGCATGTTTTCGAAGCTTAAGGTGTTTTTCTTGTATACAAGCGTCATAGCTTTCTTTGCAAAATGATTACAGCCTGACATTGGTATAGTGTTAGAAGTGAAATGAAAATGTAAATTTTGACCATGCAAATGCAGAGTTATTATTGTCACTAGCTGCCAGTTGGCATACTCAAAGATTTGCTTTGTATGTTTGAGTCTACAGGTTCCATGTGTTGCTGTAGTTGAAAATATGTCCCACTTTGATGCTGATGGAAAACGTTATTACCCGTTTGGTAGAGGTTCTGGCTCTCAGGCATGCAATTATTTCCACTTCTCATTTTCCTTGCTTCAGAATTCAAAGATGAATTAGTTAAACTGCTGGATTCCCCCCAAAAGGAGTGTCCAATAAATTTTATATGACAATGAAGTTGAAATTGTTAATTTGGATGACTTCAAAATACTGTTTGTACACATTTAAGTTGCAAATTTAAAATATTCTTAGTCATTTAATCCACTTCTCTGCAGGTTGTACAGCAATTTGGTATCCCACATCTGTTTGATCTTCCAATAAGGCCAACTGTAAGTTCTACAATAGGTCTTTACTGCAAAATGTTTGTTGAGGGTTCTCAGTGGATCTTCATCTTGCCTTACTGTGAACCAAATCACACCTTCCCATGTCCCAAACCAGTGTCTGATGTATACATTGTATTTCTTAGGCAATCTGCGAGGGGTTTGCTTTCAGAAAACGTACTTTGTTCTCTTATTGAAGTTTAGACCCTTGAACAAGCATGTCCGAATGAATAGTTAATTTTATGTGCTATGCTAACAGAAAGAAAATTCAGAATTTGATTGCTTTCACTTGAACAGTTATCTGCCTCTGGAGATAGTGGAATGCCTGAAGTGGTGGCTGATCCTCAAGGTGAAGTTGCCAAAACATTCCAAGACTTGGGAGTTTGTGTAGTGCAACAGTGTGCAAAGATTCGCCAACAAGGTACTTTTTCTTAAAAATCTGAGGAAGATTTCAATGCAAGATATCAGAGAAACATAAAACTACCTCCATTCAGTCAAATCGTACCAAAGCTTTAAACATCATTTTCATAGCTAGTTGGAAACTGCTTAAAGTAAAACACAGTGCTGGTTTGAAATCTTCTGTGAATTCTAGTATAAGATCAATATGAAATCTTTACAAGCACAAATTTGTTCTAATATGCTGAGACTTTGTGGATGTAGTCAAAAGTTAAAACTTACCTTTTTACTCAATTGGGAATTAAACTGCCATCTTTGGCAGGGTTATTACTCTATTTGGTGTTATGTGGCCAGCATTTTACATTTTTGCTTCGGCCTTTATGAGAGGTTATCTTCCTTTTCTCCAGTTTCAACAGCTGTCACCTATGATAAATCTATCAAGGCAATCAAAGTGAAAGTACCTGATTCAGATGAAGAGGTCTTTTTGCATCCTGCAACAGTGAGGCGAAATGATCACTCTGCCCAAAGTGTGGTATTTGCACTAATCTTGAGAACAACTATACTTCTATTTTCCACGGGTAGAATTCATAGGTCATGAAGATGGAGAATCCATATTATTAATGACTATCTTTCTGCTTTTGTTAGTAAACCATTATTTGCATTACAGTGGCCATACTTATAAGCATTGCTCCAAACATCAATTTGAGAGTGATTATAAAAATATCCTTACGGATCAAGCATCAGATGAGAAACAAAAAAAAAAAGTGTGATAGGTAGAGTCACCGACATATATACGCCTAAGCTTGTGAGGCTTTCATTTCAGTTTGTGCCCAAGTGGACTGTATCTTTACATGTCCTGTATTGGTATAAGGGGAACACTGTACTTGGTTGAAGACCTTTTTTCGTTGGTTTTCTAGTTCCAAATCTGGAAAAATTTACAAAACAACTGGCATAATAGAGAAGAAATGTGTTTAGATACATGTACAGATGCATGCATTTACTTTTGATATTTTTCCTATAATTATGATGGCTTTCTGTTTTTGTATCTTTATAAATAATATTTCAAACAGCGAATCCCTCATGCTCCAAGAGTTGCTCCTTAGGTTGCACTTCCAGTTTGCGAAACGCGTCATAGCTCAGCACTTGGGCTCGTCCATTTATATTGTTGTCACTCTATGCCTTCGAGTTGTCCAAATTTTTCCTTCATATCTTTCTCATTGAATTTATATTGGTTTCTTTTCATATGTTGGAACAGGATGAATGGACTGGTGAGCAGAAACTAAAGTATAATGATGTTCCAGAAGACATTGAACCTGAAGAAATTCGGCCTATGGGAAACTATGCCGTATCAATAACATGGCCTGATGGATTTAGTCAGGTGTCTTGACCTACTTTATAGTCGAACAATTCTTCTTTCAAAGCAAAATCTTTTAGAGGGACACTTGTGCATGAAGCAATCTTGTTTCTCGACAAACCTAACACCACTGATCTAAAATGCAAACACAGTACAGCAACCCCATGTTGACACTGCATCAATGGTACTGGCTTCTGTGCTTGTTTGTAACAGTGAATACCGGAAGTGTTAGCATAGCATAGCATACAGTGTAGTGGAATGGGGAGTTTCAATTCTTTCCGCTCAATCAATAAAGAATTTTGGAACTTTAAAATATTTTTCTGTCTCTTTACCATAGAATTTCATGAACTAGATAAATGTCCAGCCTGGTATCTATGCAAAACTTCTATGAGACAGTGTTCTGACTAAAATGCAAACCTTGGATGCAACAAACTGTATTCAGAGGAGAAGTTCAGTGTTAAGCTCTAATATGTTAGATAAATGCTTCATTTTCATAGTGATGATATTTTAGCTCTTATGTGTTGCATTAATGCTTGATACTCATATTTTTTCATTTCAGATTGCTCCCTATGATCAGCTTCAAACTATGGAGCGGTTAGTCGATGTTCCTCAACCTAGTCTTGCAAAGGTGAAAAGCCCATGTGATGCTAATTTGGATTCCATTAGAAAGGAGAGAAAGAATTAAATGCGACTATGTGCATGATTTTTTTTCCATTTTTTTTTTTTTTTGGGGAAGAACCCAGCTCTATCCAACCAATTCAAGCATTAGATGTTTTTAATTATCTATATTAAACTTCAACCATGTGTGGCTTTGACAGCTTTAATGAGAAACTAAAGCTTGATCATTTATGTTTTTTGACAGGCATAAGTTGAAGTGCCAATTAGATGAAGACCAGAGTATGAGATTCTTCGATACCTATGGGAAATTGAAAGAAGTTATAGCTGGACCTGCAAGAAGGTCATGGAGTGCTTTTTCCTTTTCTTCGCCTACTGATACGTGTATAACATGCCTTGGTAACATTTTGATAGATAGTATTCTTAATTGTTTTTTTTTCTTTTAGTTTATCTGATGCTTGAATTCCGGGTACAAGATTGGAAAACATGTCAAATATGCTTAAGAAATGTTTTCTGAGAACCTGTTTAAAGGTCGTGCCTTGTGTATAAGTCCCTCGTTTACAGTGGGATCTGCGAGAGGTAGCTTGCTGTTGGGCAGCTTACACCTATTTTGTAGAGCTCGTTCTCGCACTCAAACCTGTGCGTTAAGCAATCTGCATCTTTAAGATAGCTTACCCCTTTGAATGTCAAACAATGAATGCGTGGGTACATAGCAGCGGAAGTTAGGAACCGTCCTATTAATGTGCACACCTGCTTAGTGATACTTCTTTTAAAACGTTCATATATCTTTCTGAACGATGTCAACGTTTCCGACTGTTGTCGTGTCCCTTTTTAGTTGTCTTTCCTTTTGAACTTTATTGCTCAAACTAACTCCTGGTCCTTTCCTTCTTTTATTTTTTTTAAAAAATAACTTTTACGGGGAGGAGAGGAGCGTTGAGGTTCGAATCTGCAGCTTAATGGTTCCACGGTTGGCTGCGGTGGTCATTAAGTCAACAATTGATCCTCAACTCACAAGACTAGGCTTTTTATTAGTTGAATAAGAACCCTATTCTATAGATATCATTAAGTTCAGTGTCTAATTTTAGTTTGAAGATTGCATATTTGTAGTGGTTATATCTATTTCGGAAAAATAAAAAAAAAGTTTTATCTTTACTAATCATCTGAAGGATGTGGGATCGGAGAACTACATGTGTTCAGGATGATTGATCGGGTGTTCTAAGAGGTCCGAATACCTTCTAGTTAGTAAAATAAGAAAGTGCATGTTTAAGCTGATGAAGTTAATTTGAAGAAACAAACAAATCATGGTTTACACGTTTTGGCTGCTAGGATAGCAACCTACGTCCATGGGAGAAGAGATGGAGATGACATCTCCTTCGCTATTTACAATGAACATAAAAATGCCATAGATTGAGAATAATATAAATGGAAACTATCAATAAGTCGATGAAGAGAAAACAAAGGACGTGGATGAAGATAATTTCCATTATACTTTCTCTCTATCTCACTCAATAGTAGATCACTTTACAGTGCATTCAAATGCGATTGACTATTTATGAGTGAATCTCTCATTCATACACAGTGGGTGATTTACCATTAAGAAAAATTGAGAGTGAAAGTGTAACGAAGATTACTTAAATAATGTCGTCTCAACATATTTAACCAAGGAGTAGAAACAAATTCCAAAATTTCCTCTCTTCTCCAACAAATTTCAATATGACTCCTGATGGTGGTAAAAAATCAAGAGGTATGAGGTGGAGAGCTGGATGAGCTCTTAGTGGGTGGATCATGTGTGTGTAAAAACGAATGAGAATACACTAGAAAATAAGTGGTTCACTAGCTGAAAAACTTAATTAATCCACTGTAATAAAGACTTTTTCCCCTTGATTGTATATTGCTTTCTTGAAGAAGAAGAGTACAATATGGTTTACTCCTTACTTGAGGGCCCTTTTTACATAGTGATTATTGTTTTTTATAACGAAAAATTAGGAGAATATTTTTGGAATATTTGGTGTGACTTATTGCCCAAGATATGAGTTGATGGTAAAAACAATTTTCTGCCCTTTCTGATAATTTCTTTATTGCTTGTTAGCTCCTGTATATTTTTCGGTATCATCAACTCCCACTCTTTGCAATTCTATTTCTCAAGTAAACTTAAAATTATACAAAGCATCTAATGCTTGTATGGATCAAATGAATATGGTCAAAGATGAGCCAAGGAAAGATAAAGCTTTACGCCTCTTCGCCCCTCAGTTGTTTTTGTTCATACATGACTACATCTATGCAGATTCTCTGTTGAAACCTAATTTTGTGGGAAAACAGAGACCTTGTACTCCTTAAGTGCAAGAATATGAATAAAGCCCTTACAAAGCAATGAAAAACAATTTCATATCAGAGTTTTTTTTTTTTTATCTAAAATAATGACAAATGTTCCACGACATTTTTTACGTTGTATACGACATTTGTTAAAGAGGTAAAATAGGGCTATTGTGTTTTTCTATGTTTCTCTTCTACATATCGGTCCATTTATTAAGTCAGTTTGAAGGATCAACCTAATTATAATTTGAAATTTGTTAAGACTAAACTTATACGAATAACTTTGTGTCGATTTTGCAATGGGTTAACGGGTAGTGTTATGTCTTTTATCACTGTTCTAGAGCAGATATTGAGTCCATTATCACCCAAAAATAATAAAGGAAAAGAAAAAGGAAATTGAAAGAAAAATTAGCTTTAGATATGCTCTGCAGCTGGGCAAGAGGGGGAGGAGCTGGCAAGATGGTGGTGGTGCCCTGTGGATACATATGCAATCAATACCAGAAAATGCATGAAATCTCAACATCCTTCTTTAAGTTTTTGGAAAATGATTGGTGTTGATTTAAAACTTGAAATTAATCTAGTATATGATTCGGTCACTCAGCACTCAAATGTGTTATTTTTCGGTTTCAGCCATGCAATGAAATAGTTTTTAACTAACGCGATCTATGCGATTCGTGGAATATATTCATTTCAAATTTGACATCTCTAGCAATTGAGAAATCAGATACTTGACTCATTCATGGGATTTATCTTCTAACTCATTCCAACATCGCTCACTACGCCCATTGATCCATTATTTTGGGGGCCTAGTTAATATGAGTCGCCTACTCTTCCCCACAAGAAATGAGAGCTCGAAGGGGTGTGGAGTCGAGGAAGTGATTATATTGGAAAAGTGGAGGAATTAAATTGGAAAAAAGATTAATAAAAGAAATTAAATAGAAGAATTAAGCATTTGTAGAGATAAGACTTTCTAAGCCCTTTCCCACACAATTTGATTCTTGTGAATAGAAGAAGATAGATGAGGGGATGAGCATGACTGGCCTATTTTATTTTATTTTTTTTGCTAATTGAAATTGAGACAAAAAGGAAAGATACATGAGAAAATAAGTTGTTCCTTTTAATTTGTACAAAATTATAAATCAATAATAAATAGTTGTGCTAACTGATTGTGACATGGAGTTTCAGATATTATATAGAAAGTTCAACATGATTATACTCAATGGAGATCCACCAAATTACACCCGAGTAAAAATAAAAGTCACTCCTCCCAAATCAACTATCATTATCTCATTCTCATAAAAGGGGAATCACCCTCCTATACCAAGATACACAACCAACGCCATCGATTGGGGTGGTTTAGTGAGTTATCGGTTAAACTTCTCACTCTAAAATTAAAGCTTCAAGTCTTAAAATTCACATTGAGGTTCAGTGACTGACCGCTATTGTTAGCTTAGTTGGGTTCGTTTTCGAGAAGAATAATAGTCAGGGATCTCATAATTTCAACGGTAAAGGTATATCAGGTTGGTTTCTGGGCACTCTCCTTAACCAATGGAGTCTGATTAAAGTCTGGGAGAGGTTTTAGTTGACACCACAATATTAGGAAAAAAAAAATAGAACAAATTGAACTCGGCACAACCTAACGCAGTCTAAGCCTCTCTTTGCTATTCATTTTTTGCACATCCTTGTAATCTTCCACCAACGATCCCTGTTTCTTTCACATCAAATAGACACCATTGAATTAAATTCTCTACTCCGTCAAAACTATTATTTAAAATACAGTAAGATGCAAGTATTCTAGGTTTTCATTTTCAAGGGTTTGTGAATTGAATTTATTGCCAACCATTGTTCTCTTATTGTTGCATTTATGAAGAGAAAGCGTGCACTCTGAATAGTTGAAGAGTCATTCTGTGTTTCTCAATTAAAATTGCAGTTCAAATTTCTAAGTCATAGGCCCCTCATTCTTCTTTGACAGCATAATATACACTGACAAACTGGTCCCAATATGTTTTTTTTTGCCCTTAGAGGATGTATATGGAACTCCTTTTAAGGTAATTTACAAACGTCCATTTACAACTGTTGGTGTCACGGATTCAAATTCACTCCAAAACTGTAAGTTCCTCATTTTCTTAATGTTTTTTCAATTGGTTACTTCACTTGGAATTGGTTTGCATTTCAGAAACTGTTTTCTGTTTTTGAAAATAGTTTATGGGAGAAAAGTTGTTTGTGTAATTCTTTTTTGTTTTTGTTTTTTAAAACCTGAAAACAAAGGCTAGATAAATTTAGAGAATAAGTTAGATTTGTTTTATGTGTTTTTCGAAACAACATTTTCAGAATTTATAAAATATCACCACCACCACCATACTTCCATCACCACCACCACACCCATCACCACGTCCATACACAACCACCACCACACCCATCACCACATCCATACACAACCACCACCTTTCTACAACACGACCACCATGTTTCCACCAATACGACCACTACTACCACACTTTTACTACCACCACATTTATGTTTTCATTATTGTCCAAACAAATTTTATTGTTTTCTATTCTATAGAACTATTTTTAAAATCAAATAATCAACTAATTTTTGCGACACAAAAAACACCAAATTCATTTTCTAAAACTCTTCCCAAAAATAATTTTCAAATACTGTTTTTTGAAATGCAAATCAAATAGGGTTTCTCTTTCGTCTCCACTTTCTTCATCTATCTCTCAAGTCATGTTTTCTTCTATAGTCCATCAATGAGAATACTTGTTGATGTAAGAAATTATCTAACCAAATCAGTTGTCAATGAATAGAGATGCCCTCAAGCAGACAACTTTAATCTTTTGATGTAGGATAAATTTGTCTTTAAAATTTATGTATATCTCTAATTCTTTCTAGTTTTAAAGCAAACAATTTGGGATTGGGTATTTGGGAATGGGAATGTCAAATCTTGTTATGGACTTGTGATTTTTAATGTATCCCAAGGAGAACTTCCTTTATATAAAATCAATTATAAACAAAAATAATTATTCCCTATCAGAATCAAATTATAATTTTAAGATTCTCATTTTTGCATGTGAAGATGCCCATGAGATTTGAGAGGACCCAAAAAAAGAAATATATATATATATATATATATTGCATTATCTTTTCAATTATGTAAAACTTTATTTTAAAAATTTATGCCCATACTACTAGTAATCAGTGCAAATTTTGTCATCAGCAGAGTAGGGGATAAATTCAATAAAGAACTTTTGCAACTTTCTATGAATTGGTCGGGTCAATTCAACCCAAAATCTATCATATCTTAGTACATAAGCAAGTAGAGATATTCATCGTAGGCAACAGCAAAATGTTATTAGTAAGATCAGGTTCAGGTGTAATAATGTATGAGTGGCCTTTGAATGGCCAAAGA